ATCCTTTTGCCTTTTAGTATAGCCTAATATGTTACCTCATCCTTTTGCCTTTTTTAGTATAGCCTAATATATTTACCCCATCCTTTGCCTTTTAGTATAGCCCTAATATGTTACCTCTTCCTTTGCCTTTTTTTAGTATAGCCCTAATATTGCCTTTTACCCCATCATTTGCCTTTTAGTATAGCCTAATATATTTACCTCTTCCTTTGCTTTTTTAGTATAGCCTAATATGTTACCCTTCATTTGCCTTTTTTGCCTTTTAGTATAGCCCTAATATGTTACCTCTTCCTTTGCCTTTTAGTATAGCCTAATATGTTACCCCATCCTTTGCCTTTTAGTATAGCCTAATATGTTACCTCTTCATTTGCCTTTTAGTATAGCCTAATATGTTACCCCATCCTTTGCCTTTTAGTATAGCCTAATATGTTACCTCTTCCTTTGCCTTTTAGTATAGCCTAATATGTTACCCCATCCTTTGCCTTTTAGTATAGCCTAATATGTTACCTCTTTTTTTTGCCTTTTTAGTATAGCCTAATATGTTACCCCATCCTTTTGCCTTTTAGTATAGCCTAATATGTTACCTCTTCCTTTTTGCCTTTTTAGTATAGCCTAATATGTTACCCCATCCTTTGCCTTTTAGTATAGCCTAATATGTTACCTCTTCCTTTGCCTTTTAGTATAGCCTAATATGTTACCCCATCCTTTGCCTTTTAGTATAGCCTAATATGTTACCTCTTCCTTTGCCTTTTAGTATAGCCTAATATGTTACCTCTTCCTTTGCCTTTTAGTATAGCCTAATATGTTACCTCTTCCTTTGCCTTTTAGTATAGCCTAATATGTTACCCCATCTTTTTTTAGCCTAATATGCCTTTTAGTATAGCCTAATATGTTACCTCATCCTTTGCCTTTTAGTATAGCCTAATATGTTACCCCATCCTTTGCCTTTTAGTATAGCCTAATATGTTACCTCTTCCTTTGTTTTTTAGTATAGCCTAAATATTTACCCCATCATTTGCCTTTTTAGTATAGCCTAATATGTTACCTCTTCCTTTTTGCCTTTTAGTATAGCCTAATATGTTACCTCTTCCTTTGCCTTTTAGTATAGCCTAATATGTTACCTCTTTCTTTTTTTGCCTTTTAGTATAGCCTAATATGTTACCTCATCCTTTGCCTTTTTAGTATAGCCTAATATGTTACCTCTTCCTTTGCCTTTTTAGTATAGCCTAATATGTTACCTCTTTTTTTGCCTTTTAGTATAGCCTAATATGTTACCCCTTCCTTTGCCTTTTAGTATAGCCTAATATGTTACCTTTTTGCCTTTTAGTATAGCCTAATATGTTACCTCATCCTTTTGCCTTTTTAGTATATGTTACCTATCCTTGCCTTTTGTATAGCCTAATATCTTTTTTTGCCTTTTAGTATAGCCTAATATGTTACCTCTTCCTTTTGCCTTTTAGTATAGCCTAATATATGTTACCTCTTCCTTTTGCCTTTTTAGTATAGCCTAATATGTTACCTCTTCCTTTGCCTTTTAGTATAGCCTAATATGTTACCTCATCCTTTGCCTTTTAGTATAGCCTAATATGTTACCTCTTCCTTTTGCCTTTTTTAGTATAGCCCTAATATATTTACCTCTTCCTTTGCCTTTTAGTATAGCCTAATATGTTACCTCATCCTTTGCCTTTTAGTATAGCAGCTAATATGTTACCTCTTCCTTTGCCTTTTTAGTATAGCCTAATATGTTACCTCTTCCTTTTGCCTTTTAGTATAGCCTAATATGTTACCTCTTCCTTTTTGCCTAATTTTACCTCTTCATCTTTGCCTTTAGTATAGCCTAATATGTTACCTCTTCCTTTGCCTTTTAGTATAGCCTAATATGTTACCTTCCTTTTGCCTTTTAGTATAGCCTAATATGTTACCTCTTCCTTTGCCTTTTAGTATAGCCTAATATGTTACCTCATCCTTTTGCCTTTTAGTATAGCCTAATATGTTACCCCATACTTTTGCCTTTTAGCCCTAATATATTACCTCATCCTTTTGCCTTTTAGTATAGCCTAATATGTTACCCCATCCTTTGCCCTTTTAGTATAGCCTAATATATTTACCTCTTCCTTTTCCTTTTTATAGCCTAATATGTTACCTCTTCCTTTGCCTTTTAGTATAGCCTAATATGTTACCTCTTCCTTTGCCTTTTAGTATAGCCTAATATTTACCCCATCCTTTTGCCTTTTAGTATAGCCTAATATGTTACCTCTTCCTTTTGCCTTTTAGTATAGCCTAATATGTTACCTTTGCCCTTTTTGCCTATTTATCCTTTGCCTTTTTTAGTAGCCTAATATGTTACCTCTTCCTTTGCCTTTTAGTATAGCCTAATATATTTACCTCTTCCTTTGCCTTTTAGTATAGCCTAATATGTTACCCCTTCCTTTTGCCTTTTAGTATAGCCTAATGTTATTTACCCTCTTCCTTTTTGCCTTTTAGTATAGCCTAATATATTTACCCCATCCTTTGCCTTTTGCCCTTAATATGTTAGTTTTGTATTTAGTACCCAAATATGTTACCTCTTCCTTTGCCTTTTAGTATAGCCTAATATGTTACCTCTTCCTTTGCCTTTTAGTATAGCCTAATATGTTACCTCTTCCTTTGCCTTTTAGTATAGCCTAATATGTTACCCCATTCTTTGCCTTTTAGTATAGCCTACTATGTTACCTCATCCTTTGCCTTTTAGTATAGCCTAATATATGTTACCCCATCCTTTTGCCTTTTTTTAGTATAGCCTAATATATTTACCTCTTCCCTTTTTAGTATAGCCTAATATGTTACCTCTTCCTTTGCCTTTTAGTATAGCCTAATATGTTACCTCTTCCTTTGCCTTTTAGTATAGCCTAATATGTTACCTCTTCCTTTGCCTTTTAGTATAGCCTAATATGTTACCCATTTTTTGCCTTTAGCCTTATATGTACCTCCCCATCTTGCCTTTTAGTTAGCCTAATATGTTACTCTTCCTTTGCCTTTTAGTATAGCTTTAATATGTTACCTCTTCCTTTGCCTTTAATATAGCCTAATTACCTCTTCCTTTTGCCTTTTAGTATAGCCTAATATGTTACCTCATCCTTTTTTGCCCTATTTTAGTATAGCCCTTTTAGTAATATATTACCTCTTCCTTTGCCTTTTTAGTATAGCCTAATATGTTACCTCTCCCTTTGCCTTTTAGTATAGCCTAATATGTTACCTCTTCCTTTGCCTTTTAGTATAGCCTAATATATTTACCTCTTCCTTTGCCTTTTTAGTATAGCCTAATATTTTTACCCCATCCTTTGCCTTTTTATAGCCCTAATATGTTACCTCTTGCTTTTAGTATTTTTTATGTTATAGCCTAATATATTTACCCCATTCTTTTGCCTTTTAGTATAGCCTAATATGTTACCTCTTCCATTTGCTTTTAAGTATAGCCTAATATGTTACCCCATCCTTTTCCTTTTAGTATAGCCTAATATGTTACCTCTTCCTTTGCCTTTTAGTATAGCCCTAATATGTTACCTCTTCCTTTGCCTTTTAGTATAGCCCTAATATGTTACCCTTCCTTTGCCTTTTAGTATAGCCTAATATGTTACCCCATCCTTTACCTTCCTTTGCCTTTATATAGCCTAATATACTTTTACCTCTTCCTTTTTAGTATAGCCCTTTATTTTTACCTCTTTCCTTTGCCTTTTAGTATAGCCTAATATGTTACCTCTTCCTTTGCCTTTTAGTATAGCCTAATATTTTACCTCTTCCTTTGCCTTTAGTATAGCCCTAATATGTTACCTCTTCCTTTGCCTTTTTAGTATAGCCTAATATGTTACCTCTTCTTTTGCCTTTTAGTATAGCCTAATATGTTACCTCTTCCTTTGCTTTTTTTTAGTATATTTACCTGTTCCCTAATATAATATTACCTCTTCCTTTGCTAATATGTTTTTAGTATAGCCTAATATGTTACCCCTTCCTTTTTTTTTATAGCCTAATATGTTTTTTACCCCTATTCCTTTGCCTTTTATGACTAATATGTTACCTCTTCCTTTTAGCCTAATATGTTACCCTCCTTTGCCTTTTAGTATAGCCTAATATGTTTTACCTCTTCCTTTGCTTTTAGTATAGCCTAATATGTTACCTCTTCCTTTGCCTTTTAGTATAGCCTAATATTCCTTTTTAGTATAGCCTAATATATAGCCTAATTTTTACCTGTTCCTTTTGCCTTTTAGTATAGCCTAATATGTTACCTCTTCCTACCTATTTAGTATAGCCTAATATATTTACCTCTTCCTTTTGCCTTTTATTTTATAGCCTTTAATATATGTTACCTCTTCCTTTGCCAGTCCTAATATTTACCCCATCCTTTGCCTTTTAGTATAGCCTAATATTTACCTCTTCCTTTAGCCCTAATAATATTTACATCTTCCTTTTGCCATAGCCTAATATCTACCTCTTTTGCCTTTTTAGTATAGCCTAATATGTTATATTCTTTTTGCCTTTTAGTATAGCCTAATATGTTACCTCTTCCTTTGCCTTTTAGTATAGCCTAATATATTTAATTTAGTATACCTAATATGTTACCCTTCCTTTGCTTTTTTAGTATAGCCTAATATGTTTACCTATTCCTTCCTTTTAGTATAGCCTAACATTTACCTCTTTTATTTTAGTATAGACCTTTAAACTTTTCCCAACCTTTGCCTTTTAGTATAGCCCTAATATCTTACCTCTTCCTTTCCTTTTTATAGCCTAATATATTCCTCACTTTGCCTTTAAAGTATAGACTAACATTTACCTCTTCCTTTGCCTTATAGCCCTAATATGTTACCTCTTTAATTTTTTTCCTTTTAGTACACCTAATATTTACCTCTTCCTTGCCAAGTATAGCCCTAATATATTTACCCCTTCCTTTGCTTTTTAGTATAGCCTAATATTCCTCACCTTTTTGCAACACGCCTAATATTTATTCCTTTGCTTCTTTTAGTATAGCCATGATATTTAAACTAATTTCCCCCCCATCCTACACCATATTTATATGTTACCTCTTCCTTTCAGTAAGCCCCACCAAATTTATTACCTCATCCTTTTCTTTCAGTATAGCAACGATATTTACCTCTTCTTCTTTTAAGGTACATGACATTTAAACCTTTTCCTTTAACCTTTTAGTATAGCCACCATATTTACCCTCTTCCCACCAAGCTCCCTCCACTATTTACACTATTCCTCACCAAGTAAGCCGACATTTACCCTTTCTTCCTTAAGGTACATGAATATTTAAACTTTTTCCTCTTCCTTTACTTCATATTTTTAGTATAGCCTAATATATTTACCCCATCCTTTTGCCTTTTTACACTATTCCTCACCAAGCAACATAACATTTACCTCTTCTTCATTAAGGTATATGACATTTAAATTTTCCTAACCAAGCTTCCATATTTACACTCTTCTCCTCACTAAGCTCCACCAAATTTACCTATTCCTCACTAAGCAACCTAATATTTACCCTCTTCTTTCATTAAGTATAGCCTGACATTTACCTCTTTTTGCCTTTTAGTATACCATATTTACACCTCTTCCTTTGCCTTTAAGTATCCACTAATGTTACCTCTTCCTTTGCCCAAATTTACACTATCTTTCCTGATATTTTTTTCCTTTTAACACGACATTTCCTTTTCCTTAAGGTATATGACATTTTCCTTTTCCTTTTAATCCATTTGCCTTTTAGTATACCTAATATTTACCTCTTCCTCTTCCTCACCAAGTCCCCTAAATTTACCTATTCCTTCACCAAGCAACACGATATTTACCTCTTCTTTTCATTAAGGTACATGACATTTAAACTTTTTTAACCAAGTACACCATATTTACACTCTTCCTCACTAAGCTATACCCAATATTTACCTATTCCTTTGCAACACGACATTTAGTATCTTCTTCATTAAGGTACATGACATTTAAACTTTTTCCTAACCAAGCTACACCATATTTACACTCTTCCTCACCAAGCTCCACCTTTTAGTACTATTCCTCACTATGCAACATGACATTTATTCTTCTTCATTAAGGTACATGACATTTAAATCTTTACAACCAAGCTTACACCATATTTACCTCTTCCTCACTTTCCACCTCTTTTACACTATTCCTCACCAAGCAACATTTATTTACCCTCTTCTTCATTAAGCCTAATATATGACATTTTCCCCCAATCAAGTGTACACCACATTTACCTCTTCCTCACCAAGCTCCACCAAATTTACCTATTCCTCACCAAGCAACACGACATTTACCTCTTCTTCATTAAGGTACATGATATTTAAACTTTCCCCAATATACTACATATTTACACTCTTCCTCACCTTTTTCCTTTTCCAAATTTACACTCTTTCCTCACCAAGCAACAGCGACATTTACCCTCTTTCTTCATTAAGTATAGCCTGATATTTAAACTTTTCCTAACCAAGTTACACCATATTTACACTCTTCCTCACCAAGCTCCACCTAATTTTATACTATTCCTCACCAAGCAAACACGACATTTACCCTCTTTCATTAAGGTACATGACATTTAAACTTTTCCTAACCAAGCTACACCATATTTACACTCTTCCTCACCAAGCTCCTTTAAATTTACACTATTCCTCACCAAGCAATATGACATTTCTTGTTTCTTCTATAGGTACATGACTTAAACTTTTTAAGCCTACACCATATTTAAACTTTTCCTAACCAAGCCACCAAATTTTACACTATTCCTTTTCACCTTTTAAATTATCTTTTTCCCCATCTATTTTTTGCTTTCCCAACCAAGTTACACCCATTTACATAGCAAGCTAGCCTAAATTTACACTATTTATTCAAGCAACACGACTCTTCTTTCATTAAGGTACATGACATTTAAACTTTTCCTAACCAAGCCCTACCATCATATTTACACTCTTCCTCACCAACCTCCACCAAATTTACACTATTCCTCACTAAGCAACATTTACCTCTTCCTTTGCCTTTTAAGGTACATGACATTTAAACTTTTCCTAACCAAGCCTACACCATATTTACACTCTTCCTCACCAAGCTCCAAATAATTTACATTATTTCCCTCACTCACCAAGCAACACGACATTTACCCTCTTCTTCATTAAGGTAACATGACATTTAAACTAATTTTCCTAACCAAGCTTTTACACCATATTTACACTCTTCCTCACCAAGCTCCACCCAATTTACATTATTCCTCACCAAGCAACACGACATTTACCCTCTTCTTCATTAAGGTACATGACATTTAAACTTTCCTAAATCCTACACCTTTTATTTACACTCTTCCTCACCAAGCTCCACTAGTAAATTTTACATTATTCCTCACCAAGCAACACGACATTTACCCTCTTCTTCATTTTTGGTATACATGACATTTAAACTTTTCCTAACTGTTGCCTACACCATATTTACCTCTTCCTCACCAAGCTCCACCAAAATTTACATTATTCCTCACCAAGCAACACGACATTTACCTCTTTTCTTTCATTAAGGTACATGACATTTAAACTAATTTTCCTAACCTTTGCCTTACACCATATTTACACTCTTCTCACTCTAATAGCTCCCTTTACCTTTTTTTACACTATTACCCCTCACCAAGCAACACGACATTTACCTCTCTTCATTAAGGTACATGACATTTAAACTTTTCCTAACCAAGCTACACCATATTTACACTCTTCCTCACCAAGCTCCACCCAATTTACATTTAACTATTCCTCACAAGCAACACGACATTTACCCTCTTCTTTTTAAGGTACATTTATTTAAACTTTTCCTAACCAAGCAACACAATTACACCATATTTACATGATATTAAAACTTCTCACCAAGCTCCACCAAAGTTAGCCCTAATATCCTTTACCTCACTTCATTAAGGTACATGACATTTTTTTTCCTAACCAAGGTACATACATTTAACATTTACCTCTTCCTCACCAAGCCTTTTTCATTATTCCTAGCCAACACAACACGTCTTCTTCATTAAGGTACATGACATTTAAACTTTTTAACCAAGTACACCATATATTTACACTCTTCCTCACTAAGCTCCACCAAATTTACATTATTCCTCACCAAGCAACACGACACACGACATTTATTTCTTCTTCATTAAGGTACATGACATTTAAACTTCTTTTCCTAACCAAGTTTACACCACATTTAATACTTCCTCACCAAGTTCCACCTTTTACACTATTCCTCACCAAGCCTACGACATTTACCCCTCTTCTTCATTAAGGTACATGACATTTAAACTAATTTTCCTAACCAAGCTACACCATATTTACACTTCTTCCTCACCAAGCTCCTCCAAAATTTACATTATAACCTCACCAAGCAACACGACATTTACCCTTTTTCATTAAGGTACATGACATTTAAACTTTTTCCTTTAACCAAGCTACACCACATTTACACTCTTCCTCACCAAGCTCCACCAAATTTACATTATTCCTCACCAAGCAACACGATATTTACCCTCTTCTTCATTAAGGTACATGACATTTAAACTTTTCCTAACCAAGCTACACCATATTTACACTCTTCCTCACCAAGCTCCACCCAATTTACACTATTCCTCACCAAGCAACACGACATTTACCCTCTTCTTCATTAAGGTACATGACATTTAAACTTTTCCTAACTTTTACAGTCATATTTACACTCTTCCTCACTAAGCTCTCCAATTTACATTATTCTCACCAAGCAACACGACCCATTCTTCTTCATTAAGGTACATGACATTTAAACTTTTCCTAACCATTTTACCATATTTCTTTTTCACCAAGCTCCACCAAATTTACATCTATTCTCACCAAGCAACACGACATTTACCCTCTTCTTCATTAAGGTACATGACATTTAAGTTTTTCCTAACCAAGCTACACCATATTTACACTCTTCCTTTTCCACCCAAATTTACATTATTTCACCAAGCAACACGACATTTACCCTCTTCTTCATTAAGGTACATGACATTTAAACTTTTCCTAACCAAGCTTTACACCATATTTACACTCTTCCTTTGCCTTCCACCAATTTACATTATTCCTCACTAAGCAACACGACATTTTCCCTCTTCTTCATTAAGGTACATGACATTTAAACTTTTCCTAACCAAGCTACACCATATTTACACTCTTCCTCACTAAGCTCCACCAAATTTACTCTTATTCTCACCAAGCAACACGATATTTACCCTCTTCTTCATTAAGGTACATGACATTTAAACTTTTCCTAACCTACATCATATTTACACTCCTTGCCTTTCAGTAAGCTCCAATATTATTCCTCACCAAGTCCACGACATTTTTTCTTCATTATTAAGGTACATGACATTTAAACTTTCCTTTTACTATACACCACATTTACCTCTTCCTTCACCTTTTAGTCCACCAAATTTACATTATTCCTCACCAAGCAAACACGACATTTACCCTCTTCCATTAAGGTACATGACATTTAAACTTTTCCTAACAAGCTACACCACATTTACACTCTTCACCAAGCTCCACCAAATTTACATTATTCCTCAATAAGCAACACGACATAACTTCTTCTTCATTAAGGTATATGACATTTAAACTTTTCCTTTTAGCTATAGCCTAATACACTTTCCTCTACCAAGTTCCACCTAAATATTTTCCTCACCAAGCATCCACGAAATTTTCCCATTTTCTTCATTTAAACTTTTATGACATTTAAATGTTACACATCATATTTTACCTTTTCTTCTTCCTTTCTTCCTTTAAGGTACCTAATATTTAAAGCTAACCATACCTTTTCCTCACCAAGCCAATTTACATTATTCCTATAGCAACACGATATTTACCCTTCTTCATTAAGGTACATGACATTTAAACTTTTCCTAACAAGCTTACATCATATTTACACTTCCTCACCAAGCTCCACCAAATTTACATTATTTCACCTCAACACGACATTTTTTGTCTTCTTCATTAAGGTACATGACATTTCCTTTCCTAACCACTACACCATATTTACACTCTTCCTCACCAAGCTCCACCCTAATTTATGTTATTCTCACCAAGCAACATTTACATTTACTCCTCTTCTTCATTAAGGTATATGACATTTAAACTTTTCCTAACCCCTTATCATATTTACACTCTTCCTCACCAAGCTCCAATAAATTTACATTATTCCTCACCAAGCAAATACGATATTTTTTCATTAAGGTACATGACATTTAAACCTTTTAGTATAGCTACATCAACTTCTTCCTCACCAAGCTCCACTTTAATTTATTCTATAACACGACATTTACCCTCTTCTTCATTAAGGTACATGACATTTAAACTTTTCCTAAATCACGCTACACCATTTTTACCTCTTCCTTCCTCACCAAGCTCCACCAAATTTACATTATTCCTTTAGCAACTATATTTACCCTCCTTCATTAAGGTACATGACATTTAAACTTTCCCCAATCCACACCATATTTCCTTTCTTCTCAGTAAGCCCACCAAATTTACATTATTCCTCACCAAGCAACACGACATTTACCCTCTTTTTCATTAATAGCCTGACATTTAAACTTCCTTTTACCCCATATTTACACCTAAGCTCCACCCAATTTTATTATTCCTCACCAAGCAACATACATTTACCTCTTCCTTTGCATTAAGGTAGCCTAATATTTAATCCTTTGCCTTTAAGTATAGCCTAATATATTTACCTCATTTTTGCCTTCTCTCACCAAGCTCCACCCAATTTACATTTTTCCTTTTAAGCAACACGACATTTACCTCTTCCTTGCCTTTTAATAATATTTACCTCCTTTCCTTTTGTCTATCATATTTACCTCATCCTTTCCTTTTGTACCTACTATGTTACCTCATTCTTTGCCTAAGCCCTAATATATTTTACCTCTTCCTTTTGCCTTTTAGTATACCTAATATATTAACCCTTTTCTTTTGCCTTTTAGTATAGCCTACATTTACCTCTTCCTCACCCTTTTACCTCTTCTTTGCCTTTTTAGTATAGCCTAAGGTATATTTACCTATTATCTACATTTACCTCTTTGCTTTTAGTATACCTTTTAATTTACCTTTTAGCCTAATATATTTACCTCATTTTTCTTTTTAGTATAGCCTAATATTTACCTCTTTTTTGCCTTTTAGTATAGCCTAATATATTTACCCCATCCTTTTTGCCTTTTAGTATAGACTAATATATTTACCTCTTCTTTTTGCCTTTTAGTATAGCCTAATATGTTACCTCTTCCTTCCCTTTAAGTCCACCCCTAATTTATTTACCCCATCCTTTGCCTTTTAGTATAGCCTAATATGTTACCTCATTTCCTTTTCCTAACCATAGCCTAATATATTTACACTCTTCCTTCCACCCAATTTACATTATTATAGCCAACACGACATTTACCTCATCCTTTGCCATTTAAACTTTTCCCAATAGCCTAATATATTTACCTCTTCCCTTTTTCCCCCAATTTTATTATTAGCCTAATATGTTACCTCTTTTAGTATAGCCTAACATTTAACCTTTTCCTTTGCCTTTACATATATTTACCCTAATATACTTACCTCTTCCCTTTACATTATTCCTATAGCAACACGACATTTACCCTCATCTTCTTTTAGTATAGCCTAATATTTAAACTTTTCATCCTTTGCCTTTTAGTATCTTCCTAATATATTTACCCCTTCCTTTTCCCTTTTAGTATAGCCCTCTTCTTCATTATAGTATACCTCTTCCTTTGCCTTTTAGTATAGCCTAATATATTTACCTCTTTCCTTTGCCTTTTAAGTATAGCCTAATATTTACCTCATCTTTTTCCTTTTAGTATAGCCTAATATAAACTTTTCCTTTTCTTCCTTTTGCCTTTTAGTACAGCCCTAATATTTACCTCATCCTTTGCCTTTTAGTATAGCCAAATATATTTACCTCTTCCTAACCCTTTTTAGTATATTTAATACTTACCTCTTCCTTTTGCCTTTTAGTCTTCCTAATATGTTACCCTCTATTCCTTACCAACCTTTTACTCCTCTTCTTCATTAAGGTACATAATATTTAAACCCTCTTCCTTTCCAACCTTTACAGTCTTCCTAATATGTTACCTCTTAATTTACATTGCCTCACCTTTATTACCCTCTTTATAGCCCTATTATATTTAAACCTTTTCCTTTTGCCTATTTAGTACTCTTAGCCTAATATACATTATTTACACCTCCATCGACATTTGCCTTTTATTCAGTACCTAATATAGTTACCTCATCCTTTGCCTTTTTAGTATAGCCCTAATATATTTACCTTCTTCCTTTGTATCCAATTTTTATTCCTCAGCCGTAATATTTACCTCTTCCTTTTCCTTTTAAACTTTTAGCCCTAATATATTTACCTCTTCCTAAGCTCCTTCCAAGTTTAGCCTAATATATATTCCTCCTTTGCAACACGACATTTAGCCTAATATATTTACCTCATGTTTTTAAACCTTTTCTAACCCCCATAATATGTTGGGCTCCTCTTCCTTTGCCTTTTAGTATAGCTCAATTAAGCAACACATGACATTTACCTCTTCTTCATTTGTTCCCTTGCTTTTCCAACCAAGCCTAATATTTACCTTCTCCGTCCCCTTTTACATTATTCCTCACCAAGCTGAAATGGCCACGACATTTGCCTTTTTCTTCATTAAAATTATATGACATTTCTTTGCCTTTTATTCATAGCCTATTTCATTGGCTTCCCTCATGCCAAGCTCCACCCAATTTACATTATTTTCGCTCAAGCAACACGACATTTACCCTCTTCTTCATTAAGGTACATTACATTTAAACTTGCGCGTTTTCCTAATATATATTTACCTCTTCCTTTCCTCCCTTTTACAGTATTCCTAATATGATTTACCTCTTCCTTTGCTCTTTTAGTATAGCCTAATATTTAACCTTTTCCTTAACCTTTTGCCACACCATAGCCTAATATTTCCTCACCTTTTCCTTTGCCTTTTAGTATACCTAATAATTTACCTTTACCTTCTTCTTTTTAGTATAGCCCTGAATTTAAACTTTTCCTAAATCCTTTGCCTGCATTTTTAGTATATCTCCAATGCAATTTACATCATCCTTTGCCTTTTCACCCAGCTTCTTCATTATGTTACCTCTTCCTTTTCCTTTTAGTATATTCCTTTTAATATATTTACCTTTTTTAAACTTTTGCCTTTTAGTATAGCCTAATATATTTACCTCTTCCTTTTCCTAACCCACCAATAGCCCTAATATGTTACCCCATTCCTTTGCCTTTTATTATATTGCCTAATTTACATTTTACCTCTTTTTTTATTTTCCTTTATATTTAAACTTTTCCTATAGCCTAATATATTTACCTCTTCCTTTGCCTTTTAGTATAGCATAATATGTTACCCCCAATACGACATTTTTTATTCTTATATCATTATCCATTACATCTTCCTTTGCCTTTAAGTAAGCCTACACCATATTTACCTGGTTCTTCTTTCCCTTTTAGCTATAGCCTAATATATTTACCTCTTCTTTTGCCATTTACCCTCTTCTTCATTATTTACCTCCTTCATTTAAACTTTAGTAGTAGCCTAATATGTTTACACCTTATTTGCCTTTTCTCAAGTATCCACTTCAATTTACATTATTTTTACCCAGCAAGCAATTTTACCCACTTCTTCATTTTTTTTAGTATTTCCTAACCAAGCAATTACATCATATTTATCCTTTTCCTTTTAGTATAGCCTAATATATATTCTTCCTTTGCCTTCAACAGTTTAGGATAATATGTTACCCCTAAATTTTTTGCCCTTTTATATTTATAGCCCTTTTTACTCTTTGTTATTTACACCTCTTCTCATTGCAACTTTTAGTATAGCCCTAATATATTAACCCCATCATTTAAACTTTTAACCATAGCCTAATATATTTACCTCTTCCTTTGCCTTTTAGCTCCACCCTAATAGATTTACCTCTTCCAAGCAACTTTTAGTATACCCCTAATATTTACCTCATCCTTTGCCTTTTTAGTACTATGCCTACACCATATTTACCTCTTCCTTTCCTCTTTTTACACTTTTAGTATAGACCGACATTTACCCTCTTCTTCATTTTAAATTACATTTAAATGTTTCCTAACCACGCCACCCATATACCCTAATATATTTACCCATCCTCCACCCTTTTAGTATAGCCCTTTATATTACCTCATCCTTACTTTTTAGTATACCTAACATTTTCCTTTTCCTTTTATTAATATTTACTTTACTTTTATATATTTACCCCCACCAATGTTAGAACACATAAATGCCTTTTATTAGCCTAATACATTTAAACTTTTTCCATTTAGTACCCAATTTTACACTTTTCCTAACCAAGCCTAATATGTTACCTCTTCCTCACCAAGCAACACGTCTTTACCCTCCAATTTAGGTACATACATTTATTTTTCCTAATATATTACCATATTTCCTTTTTGCCTTTTAGTTGCAACACGACATTTTACCCCTCTTCTTATTTACCTCTTTACATTTTGCCTTTTAGTATAGCCTAATATTTACCTCTTCCTTTGCCTTTTAGTATAGCCTAATATGTTTCTTTATTCCTCACCAAGCAACACGATATTTACCTCTTCCTTTCCTTAAGTATAGCCCTAATATTTACCTCTTCCTTTGCCTTTTAGTATAGCCTAATATATTTACCTCTTCCTTTCACCAAGTATAGTAAATTTACATTATTCCTTACCAAGCAAATCCATTTACCTCTTCTTTCATTTAGTATAGCCTAATATGTTACCTTTCCTTTGCCTTTTAGTATAGCCTAATATGTTACCTCTCTTTTCCTTTTAGTATAGCCCTAATATTTACCTCCTTTTAGTATAGCCCTAATATTTACCTCATCCTTTTCCTTCTAATCCTTTGCTTTTTTAGTATAGCCTAATATTTACCTCTTCCCTTTGCCTTTTAGTATAGCCCTAATAAGTTTACCTCTATTCTTTGCCTTTTAGTATACCCTAATATTTACCTCTTCCTTTGCATTAAGGTACATACATTAAAATATTTACCTCAACTTTGCCTTTTAGTACACCTAATATTTACCTCATCCTTTGCCTTTTAGTATAGCCCTAATATATTTACCTCTTCCTTTGCCTTTTATTATAGCCCTAATATGTTACCTCTTCCTTTTAAGCTCCTCCAAGTTTACACTATTAATATGTTACCTCATCCATTTACCTTTTATTATAGCCCTAATGATATTTAACCTTTCCTTTGCCTTTTACACCATAGCCTAATATGTTACCTCATAATTTACATTTTAGTATAGCCCTAATATATTTACCTCTTCCTTTCATTTTAGTATAGCCTAATATTTTACCTTTTCCTTTGCCTTTTAGTATATTTAATATGTTACCTCTTCCTTTGCCTTTAGTATTATTCCTAATATGCAACCTCATTCCTTTTCTTTTTAGTATACATAATATTTTACCCTTTTCCTTTGCCTTTTATTTATAGCCTAATATGTTACCTCTTCCCAAGTTTTTTACTATTCCTAATATGTTACCCCATTATTTGCCTTTCTTCATTAAGGTACATGACATTCCTCTTCCTTTTCATTTACGTACCTATTATGTTACCTCTTTTCACCAAGCTATAGCCTAATTTTTACCTCATTCCTTTTGCCACCAAGCAATAGCCCTAATTTCCCTCTTCTTCATTTGACATTTAGTATTTCCTAATATGTTACCTCATATTTTACACTTTTCCTCACCAAGCCTAATTTATGTTACCTCATCATTTACCCTTTTCATTAAGGCCTAATATTTTACCTCTTCCTTTGGATTTTAGTATAGCCTAATATTTAAACTTTTCTCCCAAGCCTTTTAGTCCTACTAATATGTTTCCCCATGACATTTTAGTATCTTCTTCATTATATTTACCTGATTCTTTTGCCTTTTCCCTAACCACGCTACAATTATATTTTACACTCTTCCTTTGCCTTTTCCACCCAATTTACCTATTCCTCACCAAATACGACATTTAGCTCTTCATATATTTACATGATATTTTGCCCTTTTCCTAATAGCCTAATATTTACCTCTTCCTTTGCCTCCAAGTTTAGCCTATTCCTGTTATATTCATTTTGCCTTTTCATATAGTACAATAATATTTAACCTCTTCCTTTTGCCTTTTATTTATAGCCTCACTAAGCTCCTCTTCCTTTGCCTATTTAGTATAGCCCTAATATATTTATTACTTCCTTTTCTTTATTATAGCCCTAATACATTTAAACTTTTCCTTTGCTTTACACCATATTTATACTCTTCCTCACTAAGCTCCTCCAAGTATACAATATATCCTCACCCCATCCTTTGCCTTTCTTCTTCCTAATATATTTACCTCTTCCTTTTAAACCTTTAAACTTTCTAACCCTAATATATTTACCTCTTCCTCACCAAGTCCTCCAAGTTTAGTATTAGCCAAGCAAACGACATTTACCCTCTTCCTTTGCCTTTTTAGTATAGCCTAATATTTTTACCTCTTCCTTTGCCTTTTAGTTTACCCTAGTATGTTACCTCTTCCATTTACCTTTTAGTATAGCCCTAATATGTTACCTCTTCCTTTCCCCTTTTAGTATAGCCTAATATATTTACCCTCTTCCTTTTGCCTTTTAGTATAGCCTAATATGTTACCTCATCATTTGCCTTTTAGTATTCCCTGCCTTTTATATTTAGTATACCTCATCCTTTGCCTTTTAGTATAGCCCTAATATGTTACCTCTTCCTTTGCCTTTTAGTATAGACTCCTTTGCTTTTTTGTTCCTCTCTTCCTTTGCCTTTTAGTATAGCCTAATATTTTACCTTTCCTTTGCCTTTTAGTATAGCCCTAATATGTTACCTTCTTCCTTTGCCTTTTATAGCCCTAATATGTTACCTCTTCCTTTTGCCACGACATTATAGCCTAATATCTTCCTCTTCCTTTTGCATTTTAGTATAGCCCTAATATATTACCTCTTCCTTTGCCTTTTAGTATAGCTCCTAATAATTTACCTATCCTTTGCCTTTTAGTATAGCCCTAATATTTACCCTCTTCCTTTTTAGTATTTTACTATATTTAACATCCTTTCCTAACCAGTATAGCCCTAATATTTACCTCTTCCTTTAAGCTCCTTAATGTTTAGTATAACACTAATATATTACCCCTTCTTTCATCCATTTTGCCTTTTAAACTTTAGCCTAATATGTTACCTCATCCTTTACCTCTAATTTACCTCCTTTCCTTTCCTTTTAGTATAGCCCTAATATTTTACCTCATCCTTTGCCTTTTAGTATAACCCTCAATATGTTACCTCATCCTTTTGCCTTTTAACCTAATATTTACCCTCTCTTACTTTGCCTTTTAGTATACCACCTAATATATTTACTCTTCTTTGCCTTTTAGCTCCTAATATGTTACCTCATTCTTTGCCAAGTATAGCCTAATATGTTACCTCATCTTTGCCTTTTCATCATGAATTTATTTACCTCATCCTTTAACCTTTTAGTATAGCCTAATATATTTACCTCTCCTTCCTCTTCCAATTACATTAATATATTTACCTCAATCCTTTGCCTTTTAGTATCTTCTTAATAGGTTACCTGACATTTAAACTTTTTAGTATACACCTAATATATTTACCTCTTCCTTTTGTACAACCCTTTTACCTCTTCCTTTGCTCCTCATATATTTACCTCATCCTTTTGCCTTTTTAGTATAGCCCTAATATTTACCTCTTCCCATTATCCTGACATTTAACCTTTTTAGTATAGCCTAATATGTTACCTCATCCTTTGCCTTTTAGTATAGCCTAATATATTTACCTCATCTTTTTGCCTTTTTAGTATAGCCCTAATATGTTACCTCATCCTTTGCCTTTTTTTATAGCCCCTAAATATGTTTACCTCATCCTTTGCCTTTTAGCCCTAATATTTACCTCATCCTTTGCCTTTAGTATAGCCTAATATGTTACCTCATACTTTGCCTTTTAGTATAGCCTAATATGTTACCTCTTCCTTTGCCTTTTAGTGAAGCCTAATATGTTACCTCTTCCTTTGCCTTTTAGTATAGCCCTAATATGTTACCTCTTCTTTGCCTTTTAGTATATTTACATATTCCCTAATATGTTACCTCTTCCTTTGCCTTTTAGTATAACCCTAATATTTACCTCTTCTTTTGCCTTTTTAGTATAGCCTAATATTTTTACCTCTTCCTTTGCCTTTTAGTATAGCCTAATATATTTACCTCTTCCTTTTCCTTTTAATATATTTACCTCATCCCTTCATTAATATTTTTACCTCATCCTTTTGCCTTTTAAGTATAGCCTAATATATTTACCTCATCCTTTGCCTTTTAGTATAATTTAATATATTTACCTCTTCCTTTTGCCTTTTAGTAGCCCTAATATGTTACTCTCTTCCTTTTGCCTTTTTACCTCTTATAGCCCTAGCCATATTTACCTCTTCCTTTGCCTTTTAGTATAGCCTAATATTTACCTCATCCTTTGCCTTTTAGTATAGCCTAATATGTTACCTCATCCTTTCCCTTTTAGTATAGCCTAATATGTTACCTCATCCTTTGCCTATTTTTAGTATAGCCTAATATATTTACCTCATTCTTTTGCCTTTTAGTACAGCCTAATATTTACCTCTTCCTTTGCCTTTTAGTATAGCCTAATATGTTACCTCATCCTTTGCCTTTTAAGTAATAGCCTAATATATTTACCCTCATTCTTCCCTTTAGTATAGCCCTAATATGTTACATTTTCTTTTGCCTTTTAGTATATCCTAATATATTTACCTCTTCCTTTTGCCTTTTTTATAGCCCTAATATGTTACCTCATCCTTTTGCCAGCAGTGGTTTGCCATTTTTCCTTTTTGCCCTTTTTTACCACTATATATTTACCTCATCCTTTGCCTTTTAGTATAGCCTAATATATTTACCTCTTCCTTTGCCTTAAGGTATAGTATAAACTTTTCCTAATATGTTACCTCTTCCTTTGCCTTTTAGTATACCCTATTATATTTACCTCATCCTTTGCCTTTTAGTATAGCCTAATATGTTACCTCTTCCTTTGCCTTTTAGTATAGCCTAATAATATTTACCTCATCCTTTGCCTTTTAGTATAGCCCTAATATGTTACCTCATCCTTTGCCTTTTAGTATAGCCCTAATATATTTACCTCATCCTTTGCCTTTTAGTATAGCCTAATATATTTACCTCATCCTTTTACACCCTTTTAGTATAGCCTAATATATTTTACCTCTTCCTTTGCCTTTTAGTATAGCCCTAATATGTTACCTCATCCTTTGCCTTTTTAGTATCCTAATATTTTACCTCATCCTTTGCCTTTTAGTATAGCCTAATATATTTACCTCTTCCTTTGCCTTTTAGTATAGCCCTAATATATTTACCTCTTCCTTTGCCTTTCTTCCATTTACCCCATTCTTGCCTTTTATTATAGCCTAATATTTACCTCTTCCTTTTGCCTTTTAGTATAGCCTAATATATTTACCTCTTCCTTTGCCTTTTAGTATAATATTTACCTCTTATTTTAGTATAGCCTTATTTACCTCTTTTTCCTTTAAGTATAGCCCTAATATTTACCTCTTCCTTTGCCTTTTAGTATAGCCCTAATACATTACCTCATCCTTTGCCTTTTAAGTATTCTCACCAAGCCTAATATATTTACCTCTTCTTTCATTTTATAGCCCTAAATATTTACCCTTCCTTTGCCTTTTAGTATAGCCCTACTATATCTTCCTTTTCCTTTTACAGCCATTTACCTCATCCTTTGCCTTTTAGTATAGCCCTAATATTTTTACCTCATCCCTTTGCCTTTTAGTATTCCTAATATGTTACCCTCTTTCCTTTTATTTACCCATCTTGCCTTTTAGTATAGCCTAATATGTTACCTCTTCTTTTCTATTAAGCTTTTGTTACCTCTTCCTTTGCTCCTCCAAGTTTAACTATGTTTCCTCACCTTTAGTATAGCCGACATTTACCCTTTTGCCTTTTAGTACAGCCCTAATATGTTACCTCATTCCTTTGCCTTTTAGTATAGCCTAATATGTTACCCCATCCTTTTGCCTATTTTAGTATCAGCCTACTATATGTTACCTCATCCTTTGCCTTTTAGTATAGCCTAATATATTTACCTCTTCCTTTGCATTTTAGTATCTCCTAAGTTTTACCTCTTCCCTTTGCCTTTTAGTATTTACCCTAATATTTACCTCTTCCTTTTGCCTTTTTAGTATAGCCCTAATATTTACCCCATCTTTTTTGCCTAATATTTTACCATCCTATTCCTCGCAAGTATACCCTAATATTACTCCTCTTCCTTTTGTATGACATTTAACCTTTCCTTTGCCTTTTAGTATAGCCTAATATTTACCTCTTACTTTTAGTATAGCCTAATATTTACCTCTTCCTTTCACCTTTTAAATAGCCTATTACCCTCTTCTTCTTTTATTATACCTCTCATCCTTTGCCTTTTAGTATAGCCCTAATATGTTACCTCTTCCTTTGCCTTTTAGTATAGCCCTAAATATGTTACCTCTTCCTTTGCCTTTAGTATAGCCTAATATGTTACCTCATCCTTTGCCTTTTAGTCTTCCTAATATGTTACCTTCCTTTGCCTTTTTAGTATAGCCTAATATTTACCTCTTCCATTTGCCATCCTTTGCCTTTTAGTATAGCCTAATATATTTACCTCTTCCTTTGCCTTTTAGTATACCCCTAATATGTTACCTCTTCCTTTGCCTTTTAGTATAGCCTAATATGTTACCTCTTCCTTTGCCTTTTAGTATAGCCTAATATATTTACCTCTTACTTTTGCCTTTTAGTATAAGCCCTAATATATTTACCTCTTCCTTTGCCTTTTTAGTAGCCCTAATAATTTACCTCATCCTTTGCCTTTTAGTATAGCCTAATATATTACCCTCTTCTTTGCCTTTTAGTATAGCCTAATATATTTACCTCTTCCTTTTGCCTTTTCTATAGCCCTAATAATTTACCTGTTCCTTTTGCCTTTTAGTATAGCCTAATATGTTACCCTCTTTTCCTTTGCCTTTTACCTTAGCCTTTTAATATATTTATATCTTCCTTTTGCCTTTTAGTATAGCCTAATATATTTACCTCTTCCTTTGCCCTTTTAGTATAGCCCTAATATATTTACCTCTTCTTTTGCCTTTTTTAGTATAACCCTAATATATTTACCTCTTCCTTTTGCCTTTTAGTATAGCCTAATATGTTACCTCATCCTTTGCCTTTTAGTATAGCCTAATATGTTACCTCATCCTTCCCTTTTTAGTATAGCCTAATATGTTACCTCTTCCTTTGCCTTTTTAGTATAGCCTAATATATTTACCTCTTCCTTTGCCTTTTAGTATAGCCCTAATATATTTACCTCTTCCTTTGCCTTTTAGTATAGCCCTAATACATTTACCTCTTCCTTGCCTTTTAGTATAGCCTAATATATTTACCTCTTCCTTTGCCTTTTAGTATAGCCTAATATGTTACCTCTTCCTTTGCCTTTTAGTATAGCCTAATATATTACCCCATTCTGCCATGCAACTAATATTTACCTCTTCCTTTGCCTTTTAGTATAGCCTAATATGTTACCTCTTCCTTTGCCTTTTAGTATAGCCCTAATATATTTACCTCTTCCTTTGCCTTTTAGTATAGCCTAATATGTTACCTCATCCTTTTGCCTTTAGTATAGCCCTAATATATTACCTCTTCCTTTGCCTTTTTAGCCTAATATTTACCTCTTCCTAGCCCTAATATGTTACCTCTTCCTTTGCCTTTTAGTACAGCCTAATACATTTACCTCTTCCTTTGCCTTTTAGTATAGCCTAATATGTTACCTCATCCTTTGCCTTTTAGCTCTTCCTAATATATTACCTCTTCCTTTGCCTTTTAGTATACACCCTAATATGTTACACCTTTTTGCCTTTTAGTATAGCCTACTATTTACCTCTAATACCCTATTATATTTATCCTTTTTTTGCCTTTTAGTATACCTCTTATGTTACCTCTTCCTTTGCCTTTATAGCCTAATATTTTTCCTTTTTGCCTTTTACTATTCCCCTAATTTTACCTCTTCCTTTGCCTTTTAGTAGCCTAATATATTTACCTCAAGTTTTGCCTTTTAGTACAACCTAATATGTTACCTCTCTTCTTTTAGTACAGCCTAATTTTTTACCACATACTTTTGCCTAATAAGTTACCTCTTCCTTTGCCTTTTAGTATAGCCCTAATATTTTACCTCTTCCTTTTGCCTTTTAGTATAGCCCTAATATGTTACCTCTTCCTTTTGCCTTTAGTATAGCCCTAATATATTTACCTCTTCCTTTGCCTTTTAGTATAGCCTAATATGTTACCTCATCCTAATATGTTACCTCTTCCTTTTTTTAGTATAGCCTAATATGTTACCTCATCCTTTTTGCCTTTTAGTATAGCCTAATCTTATTACCTCTTCCTTTGCCTTTTAGTATAGCCTAATATTTACCTCATTCTTTGCCTTTTAGTATAGCCTAATATATTTACCTCATCCTTTGCCTTTTAGTATACCCTAATATGTTACCTGACATCCTTTTCCTTTTTTTACCATAGCCCTAATATGTTACCTCTTCCTTTTGCCTTTTAGTATAGCCTAATATGTTTAACCCATCCTTTGCCTTTTTTAGCCTAATATACATGACATTGCCCTAATATTTACCTCTTCCTTTGCCTTTTAGTATAGCCTAATATGTTACCTCTTCCTTTGCCTTTAGTACAACCCTAATATGTTACCTCTTCCTTTAGCCTTTTAGCCTTTATAGCCTAATATGTTACCTCTTCCTTAATATATTCCTTTTAGTATAGCCTAATATTTACCTCTTCCTTTTGCACCTTTTTAGTATAGCCTAATAAGTTACACCATATTTTGCCTTTTAGTATAGCCCTAATATTACCTCTTCCTTTGCCTTTTAGTATAGCCCTAATATTTACCTCTTCCTTTTGCCTTTTTAGTACAGCCTTATTTACCTCTTCCTTTTGCCTTTTTAGTATTCCTACTATGTTACCCATCCTTTTGCCTTTTAGTATAGCAACGATATGTTACCTCTTCCTTTCATTTTAGTATAGCCTAATATTTTTACCTCTTCCTTTGCCTTTTAGTATCTTCCTAATATGTTACCTCATCCTTTACCTTTTCCTATAGCCTAATATATTACCTCTTCCTTTGCCTTTTAGTATAGCCCTAATATGTTACCTCTTCCTTTTGCTTTTAGTTTAGCCTAATATGTTACTCCATCCTTTGCCTAGCCTTTCTTACTCATCCTTTGCCTTTTAATATGTTACCTCATCCTTTGCCTTTTTAGTATAAGCTCCTAATAGTTTACCTCTTCCTTTTGCCTTTTAGTATAGCCTAATATTTTACCTCTTCTTTGCCTTTTAGTATAGCCTAATATGTTTACCTCATCCTTTGCCTTATATTTACCTCTTCCTAATAATATATTTACCTCTTCCTTTGCCTTTTAGTACAATATAATATGTTACCTCTTCCTTTGCCATTTAGTATAGCCTAATATGTTACCCCATCCTTTGCCTTTTTAGTATAGCCTAATATGTTACCTCTTCCTTTTGCCTTTTAGTATGCCCTAATATATTTACCTCTTCTTTTCCTTTTAGTATAGCCTAATATATTTACCTCTTCCTTTGCCTCTTTCAGTATAGCCTAATATATTACCTCTTCCATTGCCTTTTAGTATACCCCTAATATAGTTACCTCTTCCTTTTGCCTTTTAGTATAGCCTAATATATTTGCACCTCATACTTTTGCCTTTTAGTATAGCCCTAATATGTTACCTCTTCCTTTGCCTTTTAGTATAGCCTAATATGTTACCTCTTCCTTTGCCTTTTTCTTATAACCCTAATATATTTACCTCTTCCTTTGCCTTTTTTAGTATAGCCTAATATATTTACCTCATCCTTTGCCTTTTAGTATCTTCCTAATATATTTACCTCTTCCTTTGCCTTTTAGTATAGCCCTAATATATTTACCCTCTTCCTTTTGCCTTTTACCTCTTCCTTTGCCTTTTAGTATAGCCCTAATATTTACCTCTTCCTTTGCCTTTTAGTATAGCCTAAGTTGTTACCTCATCAATTCTCACCAAGTATAGCCAACACATTTACACCTCTTCTTCTTTTAGTATAGCCTAATATGTTACCTCATCCTTTTCCTTTTAGTATAGCCATATTTACCTCATCCTTTGCCTTTTAGTTTGCACTATTATGTTACCTCTTCCTTTACCCCTTTTATTAAGCCCCCATGTTACCCTCATCCTTTGCCTTTTAGTATAGCCTAATATATTTACCTCTTCCTTTGCCTTTTAGTATAGCCCTAATATGTTACCTCATCCTTTGCCTTTTAAGTATAGCCCTAATATTTTACCTCATTCTTTTGCCTTTTAGTATATATTTACCTCTTCCCCTTTTAGTATAGCCTAATATGTTGCCCTAATCCTTTGCCTTTTAGTATAGCCCTAATATTTTTACCTCATCCTTTGCCTTTTAGTATAGCCTAATATGTTACCTCATCCTTTGCCTTTTAGTATAGCCTAATATGTTACCTCTTCCTTTGCCTTTTAGTATAGCCTAATATTTTACCTCTTCCTTTGCCTTTTAGTATAGCCTAATATGTTACCTCTTCCTTTGCCTTTTAGTATAGCCTAATATGTTACCTCTTCCTTTGCCTTTTAGTATAGCCTAATATGTTACCTCTTCCTTTGCCTTTTAGTATAGACTAATATTACCTCATCCTTTTGCCTTGTTTTTTTAGTATAGCCTAATATATTTTACCCCATCCTTTGGTTTTTAGTATAGCCCTAATATATTTACCTCTTCCTTTGCCTTTTAGTATAGCCTAATATGTTACCTCTTCCTTTTCCTTTTAGTATAGCCTAATATGTTACCTCATCCTTTTGCCTTTTACTCTCCCAAGCCCTAATATATTTACCTCATCCTTTGCTTTTTTTAGTATAGCCTAATATGTTACCTCTTCCTTTTGCCTTTTAGTATAGCCTAATATGTTACCCTGTTCCTTTGCTTTTTAGTATAGCCTAATATTTACCTCTTCCTTTTGCTTTTTAGTATAGTCTAATATGTTACCTGTTCCTTTTGCCTAATTTTACCTCTTCTTTGCCTTTTAGTATAGCCCTAATATGTTTACCCCTTCCTTTGCCTAAGCACCTCTTCCTTTTAGTATAGCCTAATATATTACCTGTTCCTTTGCTTTTAGTATAGCCCTAATATTTACCTCTTCCTTTGCCTTTTAGTATAGCTAACCTATATTTACCCCATTCTTTTTGCCTTTTAGTATAGACTAATATGTTGCCCCTTCCCTTTTGCTTTTGAAGTATAGCCTAATATGTTACCTCTTCCTTTGCCTTTTTAAGTATAGCCTAATATATTTACCTGTTCCTTTTGCCTTTTAGTATAGCCCTAATATTTACCTCTT